CCCCAAAACCCCAAAACCCCATGCTCAAGCATAAAATAAAAAATTAAAAACTAAAAATTAAAAAATAACCAAATGTAAGCTACAATTTAACAGTAAATGCCTATTATGAATCAGTTTCAAAACCCTATGATGATGTAAAGCCAATATATAGAGTAACAGCAGCTCCTACCTTAACAGTAAAGTAACTTCATGATGCCAAATGGCCAAGCTCAATATTAATTGCCTTAGTAACAGATGATGGGTTAGCAACAAATTCCATAAATGCAAATGAATGGATAGGTAAATCCATTCCTCTAGTAATAAATGATGTTTTAAAACCAAATGTAGCAATAACAATAGTTTTAGCAACAATAAAATCCTATTCAAAACGGCATTTAATAGCAAAACCTACAAACTCCTCTCTAGAATCAATATATATAGCAGCAGTATCCTATTTAAAATTAAATGCCCGTTCTTAATTTGCAACAAAATAACCAACAACCTCTTTCGTCCACAGATTATAATGGTTAGCAGCAGCAACTATCTGTATAATAAGCTTAAAAATAACAAGCAATGGTTATTGATACTTCAACTAATGATGGGAACAGGGAGTTAGCTAATAAATCAAAGAATAAGCAAGACAAAAAGAAACCTTAAACTAAAGAGGAAAGCCTAGTGTCTTCCTTAGACTAGTCTATCCTTTATTCTAAGGATCATAAGACAAGATATTCATACATCTATGAAACTAAGAATGATAAGGATGAAGATATTATGTGTGATGTTTGCTAAGATGATTATGTTGAAGAAGGTACAAATGAACTGATTATTTGTGAATTGTGCAACTCTGCTGTCCATATGCAATGCTATGGTAATGAGATTTTCAACTATTTCCCTCAGGAAGCTTGGTATTGCATGAGATGTTAATTCTTGAGAAATAATCCTGAATCTACAGTTGCTTAGATCTGCTGCTAGTTTTGCAATGATCTAAAAGGAATAATCATTAGAGATCAAAGAAACATTTGGGCTCATATAACTTGTGTTAATTGGATACCTGATGTCTGGTATAAAGATGATTACAAAACTCTTATAGAAGGTAATTTCAACAATGATAGATAGAAACTTAATTGCTATGTTTGCCGAAAAAAGAATACTGGAAGCTGCATTTAATGTGATTATAAAAACTGCCAACAAGCTTTTCATGTCAGATGTGGAATGAAAACACAGTTGATAAGAGATTGGGAGTCTATGGATGATCAAAGAGTCAATGAGGATGATTATGAATGTTTTGTTTTCTGTGATAAGCATCTTGAGATCGGTAAGAGAGATCTTAAAACAGGAGGTAAAGATAGACTGAGGGAAACTGGGCTTAAATGCTAGATTGACGAGAAGCTGAAGAAATTTGGTTTGACAGGAAATTCCCTTAAAAAGGGAAAGAAAAAGACTGAGCAAAAGATTAGGGATGACACCTATGTTGCTGGTAAAGATTCTCAAGACTAAGATGAATATGATGAGGAGCAACCAGAGGAGGATGATGATTTGGAAGCTGATCCTGAAGAGGATGAAAATAAAAATCGTAAATCAAGAAGTAGATCAAGATTTAATGGAAGAAGATCTAAGAAACCTTAATCTAAATGCAAGGGAATTCGAGTTTAGAATAACTTTAGAAATACAAGAAACAGTGGTCAAAACTCGAATACTGCCTAAGCTAATCCTGCAATGCCAATGATGTTTGGAAATCCTCAATAGCAAGCCATGATACTTATGATGCAGCAAATGATTGCTATGCAATAGCAGTAGTAATAGTAGCCATAATAGCCTCCAATGTTCCAGACACCATTCCCTAATTAGATGCAGCCATAGTAATTGATGGCACCAGTCCAAACTTAGTTTAATTAAAGTTTGATGCCAACTAATACTATTGCAGCCCCAGGCAAGACATAACCAGAATAAAAGAGAACTACTCTTGCTAGAAATTAAGCCAAAAAGACTGCTAGGGCTCCTGTA